CAGTGCTTTCTGAGGAAACTGTCAGCACATCTATAGATTCGGTCAACTTGTCCCAGGAATTCATCAAAGAAACCAATGAGGATCTGCCAACTAGAGAGAAAATTGAAGAAAACCCAGCTGATCAAGAATCAGACTTAAATATCACTGTAGCTACAGATCAGTCTGTAAGTGATCCAGAAAAACAACCTGAAATCCTCCTGACTGACACGAATTTACCGAACCCAGGCCCAGAAGAATCAGTCATTCAGTCGACACCTGAAGGAAGCAGTGATGAGCTTTTAACTCATTCTGTTTTTGGTGATAACTTCAGAGAAGTTGCACCTTTGGAACCAGAAGCTTCAAATCAGACAAGCTCAGTGCTTTCTGAGGAAACTGTCAGCACATCTATAGATTCGGTCAACTTGTCCCAGGAATTCATCAAAGAAACCAATGAGGATCTGCCAACTAGAGAGAAAATTGAAGAAAACCCAGCTGATCAAGAATCAGACTTAAATATCACTGTAGCTACAGATCAGTCTGTAAGTGATCCAGAAAAACAACCTGAAATCCTCCTGACTGACACGAATTTACCAAAACCGGACCCAGAAGAATCAGTCATTCAATCGACACCTGAAGGAAGGAGTGATGAGCTTTTAACTCATCCTGTTGTTGGTGATAACTTCGGAGAAGTTGTGAGTTCAACCCATGTGGGTGAAGGATCCATACAGATAAGTACCCACAAATCTCCTCCAAATTCAGACAAACTGCTTGACGCACCTGATGAAATGGGAGGAAACCTGATCAGTGAAACACTTTTCAGCTCCAGTGCTGAAAACTCACAAGATCAGACCAACTTCTTTGATTTGTCTGAGAGCTTCAGCCTTGCAGGTTCCTCCTCTCTGAATGCCTCAGCTGAGACTTCTGCAGCTCTTCCTCATGATTTCAGCTTGATAGACACTCAGCCACTGTCAGGTGAGACAGAGGCTTCCCTCGTAATGACAGATCCACCACCTGACCCCGACTCAGCATCTGTAAAGCAAGAAGACAATGAGGACCCTTTCAGTGGAGTCAACCAAACAAATGACCAGATTGGTGACTTCGACATATTCGGCTCAAGCAACGATCTCTTCTCTCAGCCTTTACTTTTTGATGCGCCCCACACAAATGGAGCAGAAGTTTCCACAAATCAATTTTCTGCCTTTCCTGATGACATCTTTGGAGTTAGCCATACCTCAGACAGCACAGTTCTGTTTCCAGTGCAGCCAAACAACTTCAACGTTTCTAACTCATTGAACGATTTGCTCGGATCTGACGCATCATCTACTGTGGCTCCTCCCACTCAAATAGATCTTTTTGCTGGAGACATTTTTGGCACAGGTGCACAGTTACTCCCCATAGCTGAACCAAGCAATGCTGATGTGTTTGGAGATAGTTTGTTGGTCTCTGAAGGTAACAACACTGAGCAGAAATCAGAAAGCAGCAGCTGGATGGACGATTTGCTTGGTTAATGTCGGGCTTTTGTTTTAACTTCTGTTTACATATCCGACTCTGGCAAACCAGTGGATACACATTATAAAGAAATCAACTGTAAGTCTTAACTAAATTATATATTTTTACCAAATTCAATCAGGTTAGAATTTTTTTGTTAGATAAATACTCTTTCAATAAAGAACGATTTATGTACATAGTATATTATGGATAACGTCAAATGATTTGCAGGAAGATTTTTTTGTTAATAGACACGAATATAAGAAAGATTTAAGAGAAGATATGTGAAAATGTATCTTGTAAATGAATAGTCCTTTCTCTGAATGTATTCATCAGTGACTTGTGTAATAAACTTTCAAATGTATGGACTACAACATGATTGAGTCATTTTCTATGTTTAATGTAAACAGGATATATTTACCTTTTTTTTGGGTAGGAAATATGTATTTAAGTCCAGGTAAAATAAAGATAAAACAAAAAAGAAAATCTAATCTGCGTGATAAAGGCAGCCCGTATTCCCATGGATATACTGCAATAACAGGCTCCATCTTGCTGAAAAGCTGCGGCCCCCCGATGGCCATTCGTGGAAATGCAGGACTGATGGGGGATTCCCCCCGCCCCCCCAAGATTTTTTTCGGCATAAGTGTACGGAAGAGGATTAGGGCCACTGAAAAAAGAAAAAAAAAAATCTGACTTTTTTTTCTCATAATTCTGAGATTAAAGTCAGAACTTTTTTATTTTTTTCCGGTGGCCCTAATCCTCTTCTGTACAAGTGGCCTCCACATTTCAGTAATCCAACATGAAGGGAGCAGAGAGAGGAAAGATGTGGCAAAAGAACTGAGGATGGGAGTCGAAGCCTATAGCCTCTGCATGCAGGGCACCCACTCTAACCACTGCATCATGCAATGCCATGGACTTACATTCATCAGTGAATCTGATGAAAGGTCACTTTCACATACATATTGACTGGACACAGTGATTTCTTCTCAGGTTGGCCCCTCAGATACGATGGTGACCCAGCGGCTTGTTCTAGTTATCAAGAGATGATGCAGGATGGCAGAGGGTGCTCTAATTAAGTGGTCCTCAGGTTCATTTGTCTCATATGTTGTAGATGTGAGGCTTAGAAACACAAACAAGATTCACTTTCAGTCTAAACCATATTTATTTTTCTCTTGTTCAGTTTGCATCGGGCTAATAAAGGTGACGTGCGAGTGTTACAATCAATGAAGTCTGCATTTTACACACATCTGAGCTTATTTGCTGATTTTGACAATGAAAAAGAATTTAGCAATAAGATAAAAATCTTATTTATGAAGGAAATATATGGACTTTTTTTTTTTAAATCTGTGACTCCTCAAAGTAAGTCCAATATACAGTATTCCACATGAATAGAGTTATTTAATTCTTACAGCTCGTTCTGGGCAGTTTTTCCTTGCAATGTGTTGGAGTAATAGAAAGATGGTAAATTTATGCAGCACTGTTCCAGTCATACTGACCACTGAGAACTTTACATATTTATACACCAATAAACAGATGAGTAAGTAACTTGGCCGGAGGCAAAAGCTGGAATCCAACCTTCAACCTGCTGATTGCAAAACAACTGAGACTGCATAGCTCAGAGGTAAAACAACAGGAAGGTTGTGTGCTTCCCGGGCGTTGTGGATTTGAGCCACAAAGAACTCAGCTCTTGCTCTTGCAACCTCAGGTAAAAGATAGGGCTGAAACGATTCCTCGAATGATTCGAGTACCTCGAT